GTACCATATCTGATATACATTAAAGATTTTATTTTACCTGAAAATGCTTTTTACTAAACTGTAATCGTGTTATCCACGCTAGCACCGAGTATCAGGCCTAGACACACTCAAACATTTGCCAACAACAGAAATCACTGATTTCAAAAGTAACCCTCAAAATCATGAATGCTCGACTTACCCAGCCTTGCAAGAACAATAGGCATCAGTGATCTTGCCTACAGCGATATTTATGCTGAGGGTGTGAGGATCTGCTGTTTTCCTCATCGACCGGTAGCATTTCGCTGCGATGCGCACAATGTTGGAGGCATCGCGTGGCTCAAACACCTTGATGTCGTCCAAAAAAGATGACATGACCTTGTTTGTTCCCCTGTCCATTGTCGTGGCTGATATTTTTTGAAAATCCGGCAGAATTAATCGACTCAGGAATACTCTGAAGAGGGTCAATCGAAGTGAAAGACGCCATGTTTACATAGAAACTAAGCTCCACGAGGCTTTGTTTGTGAGACATGCAGCCACGTGGGATTTTAGGGGGCGTTTCTGGGCGGAGCTTGGTGAGGTCCATGGGAACCGTCTTACATTGCTTGTCCTTAAGCCCCGCCCAGAATGTTCAAGTGAGATTCGCAAGCAAATAAAGTTTAGTTCAACCAAAAAACAGGAGCTTAAAAAAAATTAGACTCAACCAAAAACTTAAGACTGTCAACCAAAAAATTCTGATATGCAAAAATAAAAGTTTCAAACAAAAAAATAGTGATTTCAATTAAAAAAAACCTCTAAACATTTTTTTGTTTCGTAAAAAATATTTTTATGATTAAAAAGTTTTTAAGATATTTTTTTGTTTGATTCTTTTTTGATTGAATAATTGTGAAACAAATCTAACTCCATACACATTGGGGTAACCTATGTTTCAGCCAATCACATTAACCCATTCCAGCAGCGCTGTAGCTATGACGAAGCACCGACAGTTTCTACCTCAGCCTGGCTTCTGTAAGTGACAGAGGAGCAGTAAGTGAAATAGCTAATATACTAGCTATTGGTCTCCATGTTATCACTAATGTTAATCAATTTAATTGTGCAACTATCAACACAAGCTAGCAATCTAAGCTGTGTTACCGAGCTATGTATTCTGGTAAAGACATCATTTAATTACAGCATAATAAAATATTCCCTGTTGCATAGAAAAAGCTCAAATTGTTAATATTATTTTTTGGATGGTAATTATTGAATTAATAAGGCTATAACATTTGATGATTCAACCCTTTTCTGTTTAATTTGATGTAACATCAGTGAAAAACATCTTAATAATACATTTTAAACAACATATCTTAGCAGTACGAATATATTTTTACTTTTTCCAGATGTTACTTTAAAATTTACAGAGAGCTTCTGTCATGTTTAAACTTTTGAAAACAAATTTTCTGATAAGTTTTAGTTTATGAACCTGTATTTTAACATTTACATTTTAATTTCAACAGTAAAAAAATAGATACATATGTTTGCACTTCCTACTTTATTTTGCAGGAGATTTTCATGTTAATGTATTTAGGATCATTCTTTTTCAATATAAAAGGTGTTAGAAATTAAAATTACTTTAACTGCAATAGAGGAAAACTTTCTACTATAATTTCTATGTTAAATTTGTGGCAACCAGAAGCTACCATTAATTAGTTTTACCTGTTTTTAAATATTTTAAGACTTCTTTCATTTCAGATGTTGACTTTTGAATTGCTTTTGATTATTAAACATTTTATTTCCTTTATTATTAAAAAGTTGTTGTTTTTTTTAACTTAATTCCATTTTAATGTTTGTCAATTGTATCATGTGACTTCTGTTTCGTTATTTTTGTGTAGCTTGTGTAGCTCCAGAGCTGCAGGGTTTAGTTGCTGCATGTTCATTTCTGCTGTAAAATAAAGACAAAAACTGACTGAATGAATTACTTCTGGTGTTCCTCTTCATGTGATTTAAAACTCATTTCACATTTTTAGAGTCAGTTCAGGGAAAATGCCAACTGAACAAACTGAACCATGAATATAAAGACGATCAGCCAGAAAATGTTTCTTTTTCATTCATTTACTGATTTATTTTCCATTTCTGGGGCAGAGAAAGCTCCATTATTGGTCCTCACAGGGAGGTCAAGGTCAGGTGAGGGAAAAAAAAGAATTGGTCCTAATTCTATAAACATTTGGACAAACTGCTGAAGATACAATTATAAAATTACATCTGAAAATGATGATATATAATTACATGGCAGTTATTTTTTTATGGAAGCCCGGTTGTTTGTTTTATCCAGCTGATGTAGCCACAGACATCCATGATGCCAGCATCACTCAGACATGCATATTGTTTGTTTCCACCAAAAGAAATCACACCATAAATCTTATTGTTGAACACCACTCCTCCACCAGAGTCGCCCTGTGGGAAAATTAATATCATTATATTTAATATAATTTTTATATTGAAAAAAAAATTAAATACTTGTAAAATAGAAACAGATAATCACTGTAGCAACATATTGACAAAACAAACTTACAGGACAAATATCCTTGTCAGTTTCTTTAACTAAAAAGATATGTTCGAAATCTTGTGGATTATCATCAACAACTTTCATGTCGACACACTGAAGATGCGGTGAAGGATTATTATTACGTACTGCAGAGAGACATGAAATTATAAACATGTTAACTCCAGCCTGGGAGCATAAACAAAGATTTTCTTCTCATAATGTGAAAATTTCTCTCACCTCGCTTATTATTGAGGCCAACATCTGTTGTTGCATACCCTGCCAGCTGAACTTTACTACCTCTAAAACAATGAGAATAAAATGTCAACAAGGACAACAACAATGTAGAAAATCAGAAGCATCTTTATGAGGAAAAATCAATGACTTCATCCACTGAGACAGGAGTGTCCACCTCCAGTCCTCATAGACTGCGTCCTGCGTCCTTTACAGGCGTCTCTGGTCCAACACACCTGAGCTAAATGGGTTCTGGTTCTGCTGGTGGCCTGATTACCTGACTCAGGTGTCCTGAAGCAGAAACAACAGGACTGGAGGAGTGGAGACAGTTTTTAATGTTTTTAATCAGAGAAAGACTTACTTTTTAGGACGATTATTACAGTCTGGCTGTGGGATAGGAACAATGTCTTTCACTGGTCTCCGAAGCTTCAGCAACATGATGTCATGCTGTCGGCCGTTGTTGTCAATATAAACCACAGGATTGTCTAGGATTATCTGATCGTCCTGCCAACGATTCCTTTGAGGATTCCATGGATGAACCTTTAACTCTGCTGTCATAGACCTGTAGAAAAGATTAGATTATAATGAACACACAAAAAACAAATAAAATGCAGATGAAACTGTCTTCTTGTTTCTTTCTCACCATCCTCGCTCCCACTTCCAGCAGTGAGCTGCAGTCAGGATCCACTCAGGGTGGATCAGAGATCCTCCACAGCGGGTCCTTGTTTTACCGTCGCTGCCCATAATCCGAACATGATAAAGACGCTCTTTGACATCACAGTCATGACCTCCAATGATTCTCTTCTGCAGAGAAACATCTGAGTTCACTGAAACACCTGAAGAAGAAAAAGGAGGACTTTACTCAGAAATCAGTTGCAAACATGGCTGCTGGAACAGAAAGAGGATAAACAGTTAAAGATGAAAAAAGCATCACAATTTATATGCAAAGAAGTTTCAGTCTGAAACAATCAGAGCAGCAGTCTCCCTGGAACCGGTGGAAGTGTTTCCAGTCTGTCCAACTCACCCAGCCCAAGCAGCAGCAGAACCTTCACCAGAGCCATTGCTAGTCCAGGTTCCTATGAATGTCTGCAGTCCTGCAGCAGCTTTTAAGCTCTGTTCACAACTTCCTGCTGGAAAGAAAGCAACCAATCACAGGATGAACATTGATCTGCTCTGTCTTCTGCATACAGAAGAACTTTAACAACTTATCATTCTAACAAAGCTAGAATAATAGTTTGATGGAAAAAAACGACTTTAGCTGATGACAAAACAAATTCTGCAAGACATTTTTAAATAAAATGATTGGCCAATGAAACATGAACTTTTATTTTATTAATATTAAGGAATTATTTAATTAAAACATTAAAGTTTCTTACTGCAAAGTTACTTGAATGTTAATTTGTCTTATTTCATGTGAAATAAAACATCTGCACTAGAAACTAGTCTAAAAATAAGTGGTAAGATTTTCTGTTTTGCAGCACACAAGCTTACAGTGAGTTCTGCTAAAAAAAAAACCTGACAGTAAACTTGATAAAATAAAACTGGTTTTCTGAAGAAAGAGCAACTTGTGTTCTTGTTTTCAGGTTATTACTTAATACTTAATTGCAAGCTATTTTGTAATGGTAGCATTAACAAATGTATCTCCACTCATAAGGTTGAACTGAAGGGGAGATTGTTTTATGGTTACAACAGTCCAAAATTAACTTTAGTAGATTTTGCGTGTTTTTGTGTGTTCCACTATTCTGCAGTAAACTCTAAATAGGATTTTAAATCCCCCCTCACTCCTAGCTTACGCATTCTGTGTTACGGCCCTGTGTTTGCTGTCAGAGCACAGCGCTCCTCCTGTGGCTCCACATCTCAGATGGTCCGCAACTTTATGGACTCGTTCATTTGTGGCTGTTTTCACCTTTATTGTGCTGTTCATATTAGTCTCGCTGTTTGCAGTTTTCTGGAGCGAAACGCAAAGCTCGACATCATTCACAGCAATTAAATTAACTTGACATTAACAAAGACACATGGGGTTGGATTATTTGGGAAATAATAGACACCTGAGCCTGAGTAAAACTACCTGGATGTCAGATAAATTCTGGGACTTACAGCTGGTTATTTCCAGCCCAAATGAGCAACTTCATGTTGAAAAACAAATTAAAAAAACGTAACCCGCGACTCATTAAATTTGCTAGCGACTTTAGAAATACCAAGCCCAAAGCTTCTTATAATAATCAGACTTGGTGACAGAAACTCAAAATAGTTCCTGTTTTTCCAGCAACAAAATGTGCATCTCTCTCCATTGTTTACATTTCTGTCGCTGCTGATGCTGTTGCATGGAAAAGGTGGTCATTCCCCAAGATGCACAGAGGAAATAAAATTACATTACTAAATAAAACAGTAATGCACAGTGATTTGGATAAGTTACTTTATTCTGATTACTGGACTTGAAATAGCAATGTTTTAGATTACTCGTTACTGAAAAAAGTAGTCCGATGTCCAAAGTAATGCATTACTGACATCACTGTTTGGGAATCGCCATGGAGACAAGCCAGTGAGATGGAAAAATCAACAGTCAGCCCAACCCAAAAAAGTCAGTGTTATCAAACCGAGTCTGAGTCAGCCTGAAGGATGACCATCTCAAATTGCACAGTGGCACAATTGGTAGTACTTTTGCCTTGCAGCAAGAAGGTCCGGGGTTTGATTCTGCATAGAGTTTGCACGTTCTCCCTGTGCATCATGTGTGGGTTCTCTCCTGGTACTCCGGCCTCCTTAATTGGTCTGTCTAAATTCTCCCTAGGTGTGTGTGCATGGTTGTGTGTCCTGTCTGTCTCTGTGTTGCCCTGCAATGGACTGGTGACCTGTCCAAGGTGTACTTCGCCTCTCACCTGTTGACAGATGAAGAGGCACCAGCACCCCTCACAACCTCAATGGGATAAGGGTGTAAGAAAATGGATGGATGATTCAATGACCTGCATATGCTGAGAGAATGTAGTCCTGTATTTCTAGACAATCAGAACACACAGTTTTCAGAATAACACCAATGATCTATGGACATCTGCAGGTACAGATCCTCCTCAATGACACCGGCGAACAACCAGGGAATGAACACAGAGATCTCTCTTATAAGCATCTGTGGGACATTAAGGGATTTGTATTTCTATTAAAAAGTTTAACAGCTTTGAAATTTTCTCAGGTTTATATGAACCTTGTTTCAAGATGTTGCAAAGTGCTGCCACACTGGCTGTTTCTGTCAAGCAGTATTGACCAATATTATGTTTTATCTTCCAAGTCAGGGTTACAAAGAACCCGAGAGATAAACATGAAAATGTTTCCACACTGAGATGAAAATCTGCCAGGAAGATGAATTGACACTTTAAACCAACACTATTGCTTCAGACATGAAGTAAACAACAAATTCACAGCATTGTTGTGCAACAAAATATTTGATTTGGCAATAAATAACTATTGATAAATGTCTAAAAGAATTATTCATTATTCACTAATTTAGACCAAATTTACTAAGCTGAGGCAGAAGAAAATGACCTACGACTGTTTTCCAAATAAAATGTAGTATTTATGTTGTCATTTTTTGGTTTGTCCTCACAAGTTTTTGGAAATAAGGTAATGTAAAATAATTATGAATGACATTATGCCCATCGTCTGCCAACAAAAGGATGTGTTTAAGATCAGTATTAATTGAAGAAGCTTTTATAATAACATAAGTTATGAAGGCAACATGTTACCATTTTTATTCTTTAATTGTTTATCTTTTCAGTTTTAGCAGCAAAGTTTGCACCTGATTTCTGTTTAATATCGTCCTCAATTTTCTTCTTCAGGTGTTTCAGTGAACTCAGATGATTAAAAGCATTGAAATATGTCTGATAAAAGAGTATTTATCAACATAAGACCATAATAATATTATAGTATGTTATGGTGTAGAAACCACCAGCAGAAACTCGATGGTAAAAAGCTAAATTTTTCACAATGGAAATTGCTTTAGAAAAACCAAATGTTTTAATGTCAAATGTACATGAATCAATATAAATTCCTTAATGATAGATTCAAAATAAACTAAAATTTACATAATACAAATATGATTCAGGATCAGTTCTAGTTGAAACCCAAACGAGTCAACGTGTAAGTCACGATGACTTATTTTATAATTTAAATATCAACATGGATTCAATATTTCTGCCTAACCATATTTCAATGTTGATTCACTCATATTTTGCTATCTGGATAGTTATTAAATGCAATAGATAAATAATTTTGGTTCAGCACTGGGATTTTTGAACATAACTTGATTTTCATTTAGAGACATCTGAGTCTGTGAAGGGGAGAGCGGGTGTTGGCACTAGTTTTTCTCTGTTGTTGTTCACATTAATTTATTTGTCACTTCTGCTTTCTTATCACAGCCATGTGGTTATGGGTGGTTCAGATAATGCTTATCATCAGAACGAGTCATGGTGAGATGGAAGATATCTGACACTTGCAATTCTACATAAGAAGAAACAGCGAGAGATAAAGACAAAAACTAACAATTTGTTTTTCATTTTCTGTAATCGCAGAATAAACACTTTGTTCTGGCTGCAGCAGGTTCTAAAGCTTTAAAACCATTTGTGTTTTAATTCATAACTTATGTTAATACAAATGAGTTAAATTAGGATAAAAGGTCTCACTGTCAGGAAAAACTTGCTTAAAGCCAACAGAGTCAGTAATCTAGAGAGTTCAATATTAACATCTGTCCTCGTTTAAATCTAAATTTTGAGTTTTCATAAACTACAAACTGTGTGCTTTTAATAATCTAACATTTGTATAATAATTCTGAACAGTATAAGGTATTTCTGTCTGGTAGTTTTCCAGTTACACAACAGGAAAACTGTTGTTACACAACAGTTGGTGGAATATATATTTTTTTGTAGTGAACATATTTAAATCAATCAGTCAATTTTATTTATAAAGCACCCTTCATACTAAAAGCAGCTCAAAGTGCTGTACAGATGTTTCTAAAAATATTGAACAACTGTTTGGAGAATTGTCCTTTCTCCATTAGGTTCTTGATGTATGAGGTTGAAGAAGATTGGATGAGATAAATTCAATAATTCTATTTATTAATACCAAAATGCAGCGGGTCCATTTGTTTATTAGCCACTTTGTTAGCCACTGTCTAGGCTACACCTTCAAGAGGGCGTTCCCCGGTTTGTCATTTAATTTTTATATATGAGCATGCAAATAGCTAAAAGAGATAGAGGACAACACATACTTATTTGTTCTCAACACAACCCAAATAATCCAAACAGAGAAAGAAACTAAAACAAATGAGAAATTACGTCACAACTGAAACCAGATATTTACATCCCGAATAAAGAGATACATATTTTTTCTCACTGTCTGAAGTGAAAGCAGACAAAACTTTTATTGTTTTATCTTAGAATTAACAAAATTATTTATGTTTGCTAAATGCTAGAAAACTAAGCAAGAACCTTTTTCTAGAAAATTTTTGGTAACATTCCTTGTATTGAAACTGTAACATAAATTTGGGCATTATCATGGATTCTCCTTCCATTAAACTGTTGCTGCTCCAAACTGACCAGATCAAAATATCAGCAAATAAAGTAAATGTTAAATTAGATTCGTTGCATAAATCATTTATGTAAAGTTAGAAAAGTTCAGGACCCGGTTCTGACCCTGGTGGTTTTCCACAGGAAACTTCTAGTAAATCTGAATTCAGATTATTTGTACATTTTGGTGTCTTGAGTAACTTTTACCCCAGAATGTGAAATGCCTCCTGATTCAGGAACAAGAGATAAAAATTATATATAAATAAATATAGGAGACGGTTTCATAACTTAATATCCAGAAGTTTGCATCCATCTCCTCAGGTTTGGTCAGAATTTCCTTCAGTCTAATTTGGGTCAAATGTTCTGGTTTCCTTCCACAAGGTTCTGATGATACATTGCTGGAGTTCTGGTCCGTTCCTTCTTACAGAACCGGTGACGGTCTTTACAGAAATATTTACTTTTATGACCAAATTGATAATAAAATGCCAACCATCAGAAGGCCTGATCTTTAGGTCAGAGCAGCAGAATATTTTCCTCTCTTCTTCCTCCAACATGGTCAGACATGGCACATTAAGCTGAGTCATGACTGCTGGGGGCAGCAGCAGCTAAAAAGATTTACAGAGGCAGAGGAAGCTGCATCAGCTGCTGCACTTCTACTATCAGTCCACTAGATGGAGACATGGAGCAGCATTTACATTCACTGATTCAACCTGAACAACAGGAAGGATTTTAGTTCACAATCATTAAACTCTACAAGTGGAGAAGATTCACTATTTAATAACCTGACTGAATCAAACACATTTTAACAATATCTTTTATTTTGAAAGGGAGCAACAGGAAACTGTTGAGTTTGACTTTATTGGTGGAGACAAGAATTTGATACCAGGAAACACAAAAATGAAGCAGTTTGTTCAAAGAAGAAAACAGAGAAACATCAGCTGTTCATCATGTCGTTTGATTCCAGTTCATCAGTAATCTAATAATCCTGTAGATTAACTGTCATTAACAGATTAAACTTTGAGTTTAAATCAGAAGTGAACATTTTCTCCAAACATCAGAGAGAAGAAACAAGTAGAAAAGTTCCTGAAGACAAAGTTCAATGGGAAACAAAGCAAACTTACAGTTTGTTCAAACGATCCAAAGAGATGAAGAAGATCATCTGAACAACAGACTGGGGTCACGACCCGGTTGGATGGTAGGACGGTCCAGGCAGCAGCAGAACCTCTGGCCACCGGATCAAAATGATCACATCGGCTTCTGGAAGAGACGACATCAACGAGATCAAGACACCAAAATACTTCCATACACTTTAAACGTGACCTGAAAATGTTTGGGTCGGTCTGTGGGCCAAACAAAACATGTTCATTACATTTTTATTCAAAATCCTTCTGAGGTCACAAGATTTTAGTCTGTTCAGTTCAGAATGAGATGTTTTAGAGCCTCTTCTCAACCCTGTAGTGAAATAAATTAAAGTGTGTTTTATCTCTCTGCTGCCAGCAGGTTGAGAGGAAGGAGTGAGTGTCAGGTTCAGCTCCTCCCTCTTTATCTCCTGATGCTCCATGATGTCCTGGAAAGTTTGACTTCTTCTCATGTCAGTAATCACATCCATCTGAAATCTGCCTGGCAACTGGATCTTCTCCTGACTGAGTTCAGTGGGTAAAGACTTTAACGCTGTTTGCCTTTAAATAAAAACAACTTAATGACAAAGATTAATCTTCCTCTGGTCACTGAAAGAGTGTCTCACCTTTTGTTAAAGATCATTTCCTCCACACAGCCATTGTAAAGAGCATATGGACGTAACCGGGTGGTTTTACTTGGAAAACATTGTTTACATAAAGTAGCTGTAAATTCCCACCCGTTTTGGGCCCTTGAACACATCTAGGCCCCGTTTCCCCACCTTCACTTCACAGCTTTGTTGGGCTCATTAGTGTATATAGGCACCGGGTGTACCCGCCAATCTTTGAGTGTCTGTCTGTCTTGGTCAGATGAGCGCTGGTGCCGTGCTCATTGGGTTGCTGTGAGAGGGTTTGGATCGTGGACATTTGTGCTGCTGGATGCATTTCAGTGGCTTCTCACTGCAGCGGCTGAATGTACCCGTTGTGTGGCTGATTAAGATTGCTGCTGTTGTTTATTATGCTCTCACCAAAGTGCATTTGTTTGGTAGTTCAGATGCTCTCAGCTAATTGCTTAATATGCTTTTTTCTAGAGCTGGAGTTGTAACACAAGCAGTGTAGAACCAGAACAGTTTATCTCTTTATTTTTATGAATTGGCTTATGGGGCACAGCCTTATAGGACTGGTTTGAGGCAATGTGGGATTTGTTTTTGTCTAACATTATTATGTCATTAATTTGTGTTTCTACTAATTTGGTTAGCAGTTTTTGATTCTCAGATTGCTTCTAGTTTTGTCCTGGGTTCCTGTGCTTTATTGGGTTTTAAATTGGAATAATAAAGTCTTTTTAATATTGTAAAAGTATGTATAAATAAAATATTTTGTATACTATTTCTGTTTCATCATTCTAAGCCAGACCTAGCTGGGTATTGTTAATTGGGAGACCCTGGGCCACTTGATATTATCTGAGTAGTCTACCAGTTGGCTTTAGGGCCACGTCCTCAATCACAATCCAGGTTCTTTTTCCCGTGTTACACAGAGATAAAACCAGCTGACCAAATGTGCTGTAGCTAAAGTGGAAGATTCTCATGTCAGGCCGTAGCAGCACCGGTTCTGTGGGTCCAATCAGCTGATTGTTTCTGCTACAGGCTGAATTTTATGTGCTGCTGTGAACAGTTTGGTGTCTCCATTGGTGGATTGTTTGGAAAACTGAGATCATCAATTTACTAGATTGAACTGGAGATTGATAAAACACAGAGTGGATTTTTCTTCTGGGCATTTTTGTGCCATAAAGGGATTGGAAACCAAATCTGGACAGAGTTCGACTGGAAAGTAAAAACTAGATTTAATAGAAGTCCATTAAAAACTTTGATTTCCAGGATCCAACCACAGATAGATGTTGGAGGAATCTGAGGAATGGTCGGTCATCACACACGTCTTCTGGGACTGAGCACAAATAAAGACCTTCTGGAGGAAATGAAGCAGCAGATTGAGGACATTCTAAGGACAGATGTCCCCATGGAGCCTCTTCTGTCTCTGCTGGACAGAAACACCAAGGATTTACTCACTAAAGATCAATGTTACGTATTGATGCACATTCTGCTGCTAGTAGCAAGAAAGACAATTACACTAAACTGGATTAAACTGTTCACATTACACTAAACTGGATTAAACCTGTTCACATCACACTAAACTGGATTAAACCTGTTCACCAACTGTTGCTGAATGGAGGAAAAACTGAAACATGACAACATGATGCAGCGTCTGACTGAAAAACTAGACATGAAAATAGATAATTAAATATGTAGTTTAGAAAATAAATACTGAATTTGAAAATTAAATGTTTAGTTTGCAAAATAAATACTTGAAATACTTGAAATACGTGACGTCATCATTCACGTAAATATTTATTCTGTATATTTATTTCCCAAAAAATTAGTTTTCAAATTAAATATTTTGTGAATTACACATTTAGTTTAGAATGAATGTATGAATAACATGGTGAAAATACTAGCTTGAAAATTCATATACACATGCTTTTTCTCTGACATGCTAATTAAACTAAAATACTTTTAATTTGTTTTTTCTTACAATCAATCATCACTACAGTCATAATCAAAAGTAAGTACACCTTCATTTCTATCAGAACTTCTTTCCTTCCTCATGAAGATTTTATCAACCTGCCTCTGATTTCACCTCAGAGCTTCTACTTCCTGTTTCTGCTGCTCTGAAAGAAGAAACTACAAATCAGGTGAGCCGTGACGTCATCATTCACGCAACATCCGTCACATTTACTTCGGTTTGAATTAACCTGTTTAGATGTAGTTGCTCCAGTCCGGTTTTTTTTGCGTCTCAGCTTGTTTTTAAAATGTTCTTCTTGAACTCTTTGGTTCGTTTGAACAAACTGTAAGTTTGACTTGTTTCCTACTTTAACTTTTTCGTCAGGAAATTTCCTGATTGTTTCTCTGATGTTTGGAGAACAGTTTCACTTCTGATTGCGGCTCAAACTTTAATATCTCTCCAGTTTGAAGGCTAATCTACAGGATTATTAGATTAATGAGTGCCTGGAATCAAACAACATTATGAACAGCTGATGTTTCACTGTTTTCTCCTCCGAACTGATTCATGTTTTTATTTCCTGGTACTGAGTCTCCACCTTTAACTAAAATCCTTCCTGTTGTTCAGGTTGAATCAGTGAATGTAAATGCTGCTCCATGTCTCCAT